TACTCATTTTGGCTGGTATCCCCTTTCGGGTTCGTTGATATTTAGGAAGTTCCAGCCAGTTTTCTACCGGACCCAAGACTTGTGCTTGACCAGAGCTGCGGTCTTTGACCACGGTCACACGCAGGGGAATCTCCGATTGATCAACACTCGGATCAGGAACTCTCAAACGCTCCGTCCCTCGACATACCTCAATCCTCCTGACCTTCATTCCTGGGATACCCCTCTGAATCTCTTCAAACTCACTTCCCTCAAGATATACCCTTTTTCCAACTCTTGGAACTTGAGTATTGATTTTGGAGAAAGCCCCATTCCAGAACTCACCATGAGCACAGCCAAAAGGTCCTCGCGGAGGTTGTTTGCTTCCGTATTTCTGGCGTTTGACACCAGGTGTGTGCTCATCCGGAGCATCCTGAATTACTGCTTCCCTCTTTCGAGAGACCACTGCCTGTACAAATGCCGGAGTTGTGTCACCAACCAACAATTCATCACGAATCAAGGGCTCATGAGTTATCCCACATGATAGATACCTGGCTACATTCTTTGCAAACCCCGACGAGTACCTAGCAGCGAACTCTGAAAGAGAGATCCATCTTCCGAGATGGTGAATCTTGCCAGCTATCTGGGTGTGCTGGTGTTTTCCAGGACACAAACGCCAGTCAAAGGCCTGGTGGAAAATCTTGGAGGAAGTGAACACATTTGTTCTTTTTCTAAGGAAATTGTTGCCCCGGAATCTTACCTCTGCCCATGGTGCCAACAGCTTTCCTACCTCACACATGTCAAAGGTAGTGCACAACGTACCCTCATAGACATCCCTCAATTCTGGTTGATATATGGCCTCAGAACCCTGGGGTTGTTCCAAATGAAAATGACCTCCTACTTCCATCTGATGCCAATAGATGTCATTACACAAACGAAGATGGGTTCTTTGTTGTTGCCTACCTTCTAGTATTTTGCTTGCTGTGCTGATGCTTCTGCCCATGTTGCGACGGCTGTAGTTGCCCCAGTACTTGCAATCCGGTGCAACCCAAATTTCCTTGGGCTTCTCCTCCAAGATGACCTTCCACAGTGCAGTTCGGCCAGCGCTAGTTGAAAGGTCGCCATCTTGGAAAGTAAATCTCTTAGCTCTGAGACCAAGCCGTCGTGCTTGTTCGGTAAGTTGAGAATTCTCTTCACAGTAGATTTCCAGAAGATCTAATTTCCAAGGTGACCCCTTTCTTGATCCTGTCGGAACGGACCACACAGTCCTCAGCTTCTCCAGTTCTTTTTCGATCGACAACTGAGCACATTCAATTTGATGACAAAGGTCATGACTAATTGAAAATGCTGAGTCCTGCCGATGGTTGATATCTCGCTTACCCTTCACTTGTTCCCGATCTCCTGCTGAATCTTGTCCACCTCGCGCTGCAGGATCGCAAGGCGCACCATCTTGTCCTCCTTGGTCTCCTTTTCCAGATCGAATTGCATATCCATTTGTTCTTCCACCTCGATGGCACTTCTCTTCATCGGCCCATGACTGCTCTGACTCTTCACTTCTGGATCCACTGACTTGGGCGTGGAGAGCAGTTCCCATTCCCGATGACAAGGCTGGAGTGCCCCCGTGGTTGCGGTTGCAACCAGCTGGCGCAGATGGTGTTCCTGCTCTTGCTCGATCTTCAACATCTTGTCCCTGTGGTCGACTTCTGCTTGAAGGCGAAGACGAGCATATTGGTGAAAGCTCAGGGCCCATGCTGATGTGAGTCTGCTGTGAGAGGCCATTAAGCTCACATACTTGTTGTCGCGGAGATACACCTCCGCAAAGGAATGTCCTTTCCACTTGCCCTCTGGCAACTTCATCTCGCCCCATTGTTGCAGATTGGTCACTCCGGGTGGACGTCGATGCTGGACAATTGGCCCTTGATCGAAACTCAGACTCGGATCCTCTTTGGCTGTCAGGGGCATCTCGAGATTGGGGCCCACGTTCATAGCATAGGTCACCTCGCCCTTGTTCAGAAACATTTCCTTCGGCAGCGCCATGTGAAGACACACCGAGGGACAAGTCAGACGAATTGCGGAAATTGGGATCTCGTTCAGATTGAGGTTGAGCCACTTCAGCTGCTGGTGTCTGCTTTTGCTGCTGCTGAAGTGAACAGTAAACCTCCTTACTTCGATATGTTGATTCATTACATGTCAGAGTGATCACTTCCTCACCTTGGGGCCTCCCTTCGATTTCACTGGCGGCTTCAATGAGTTCAGTCAGTGCAACAGTGAACAAACCCTTGTTGTTCCTATGAAGTTTCACTTCAACACCCCACTGTGAAATCTTGAGAACAGCCCGACTGATTTGCAAATCGGCTTCAAGTGCACTCAAAAACGCATTTGAAATCAAAAATGGAGTCCAACCCTGCACCACTTCAATCTTCAGCCATCTTTTCCCAAACGGAACATAAACCGCCCCAAGACTTTTGAGGGTACCATTATTCCCAAAACGAAAAACAGTCTCCGACTTCTGCCAACGAACCAATTTTTGATGGCTTTCAGGAAGAGTGGCAAGCAGGCCTTTCACGCGTTTTTCTCCAATGACAGTCTTGCTGGCTCCTGTGTCAATGATTCCGGTTCCCTTTTCAACTAGACTTCTATCATGTTCACACTCAGCCGTCGGGGACCTGACGACACTGAAACCAGTTTCCAAAGCTTTCTTGAAGACTTGTCGGAACTTGTTGGTGGGCAATTCACCAAACTTGGATTTTAAACACTTTGACTCATGCAAAACATGGGAAGTCATGAAAACGAAATCATCATGTACCAGATGACACTCCGGTGGCATCAAATCAAAAATGGGTGAACTCTCCGACCCGGCCTGCCACATGCTGATTTCCACATTCGTGGGGAGCTGAGAGACCAGTTCGGTGTCGGAGTTGCCATTCTCCTCGACCAGCAGGTTGGCATCTGCAGCAGGACTTTGACGATCTCGTTGAGGACATTCTTGGCGCCAATGTCCCTTCATGCCGCAAATGCGACAGTTGGAGTTCGCTATGCGCTCCGCCAGCGTTTGGCGATTCTTCCCAAACCCCTTGCCGGTGCCCTTTTTCGACTTGCCCTTTGCTTTACCTCCTTGTCTCAGAGGCCAGAACCCACGGTTCCTCGCTTTGTCACGAAGTCGGGCTCGAGCATCTTGGTAAGCCGAAAAGGCCATAGCTAACTCCGGGCTGTCTTGGCACACCTGAATGATGTTCTCCTCAAACTCTTGGACCACCATCGCACTTTCGTCTCCTTCTTCCAACAGAGCAGCCATGACTGACTCCTCATCAGGTTCATCATCATGTAGTTGATTGATCTCCTCGGCATCTTCATCCACATAGTTGATCGGGTAGATCTTCTTGCGGCTCACTTCTCCTTGACTCAAAACCTTGGTAGAGAGTGCCCTCATTGCATTCTCCATCTTTGTTGGATCATACCCATCTGCCATTGCTATCACTCGTTTCTTATCCTCTGCACTCAGCCCACTCTGCCTCAGGAGCACGAAAGCTTTGACCTGCTTGACCGTGGTGTCCTCTCCAACCTCTGTGAAAGCCACATTGATACGGTTGACATAGGACATTGTTGTTTCATCCTGCTTCTGTAGCGTCTTGTAGAACGCCTTCTCAAACAGGTCATACGTTTGAAGCTCAGCTGATTCCTCCCAGGTAGACAATGCCCCCAAGAGCACCTTGTAGCCCTCAGCCTCCGTGAGCTTTGTTGGATCGATCGATTTCACCTGACTCCAAGCCGTCCCTTTGCACATCAAGGCCAGCCTAGGAGCCAACATCGGTCGATCCTTGGCTGGGCATATGCCCCACAAAAACTTCACCTTGTCCGAGTACTCCTTCGCATTGTCCACACTTGGATCAAATGAAGGTAACAAATTCCAAAGGCCTTGGTTGGCCTTCTCTTCCGAGGCAGACGACGTTGCCTCACCTTCAGGCATCCCTATGCCTTCTCAAACCCTTTTCCCAGTGCTCCTCACCAGGTAGTTGCCTTTTTCCAAGAGGACCCCTGCCTCAAACTTTTCCTCCAAGTCCCGTGGATCAGGACTCCGCTGCCAATGTGATTGGCACCCTGACCAAGCGTAGCCACCAAAAGATGCCCTGCACCTTTTCCAAGACGCCAATGGCTCGATCGCCACTCCGCAGCCCACCCCCTTGAGATGAGCGCGCGAAAGCAAAGGTTGGACATGCTGATGTCACTTAGTTGACAGTTGGACCTGGAAATTGAGTAGATTTCACAATATACATATATATATATATACATATACATATATATATATACATATACATATATATATACATACATACATACATATATATATATATATGTATACATATATTTTCAATATAATATATACATATATACACATATACACATATACATATATACATATATACATATATACATGTATACATATATACATGTATACATATATACATATATACATATATACATATATACAGATATATATATACATATACATATATATACATATATACATATATACATATATACATATATACATATATATATATATACACATACATATATATATATATACATATATATACATATATACATATATATATATATACATATATATATATACATATATATATATGTATATATACATATACATATATATATATATATATATACATATACCTGGTTGGTGGTGGTTTGGAACATTAATTTTATGACTTTCCATATTGGGAATGGAAAATCATCCCAACTGACGAGCTCATATTTTCAGAGGGGTAGGTATACCACCAACTAGATTAATTTATATATATAAATGATATATTAGTCCATTTATGGGATAATTCTTGGGATAAATGGGATACACATATGGGATATATTCATATATATATATACATAGCTATATATCCCATAATAATAAACTATATGATATACACCACATGCTTATTTATAGTTTTCCCAAGAATATCAGCCATCTGACAACCAACATGGAGGCACCCATGATTTTTTTGGCCGAGGCTGCGCCACAAGCAGAAGGTCCTGGGCAATTCAACGTGCCGTGGTGGCACTGCAGTGGGGAAACATGGGGATATTATGAGGATAAGATGTTGCTTGGTGGTTTCAAACATTTGGATTATGTTCCATTCAGTTGGAAATAATCATCATCCCAACTGACTTTCACTCCATCATTTTTCAGAGGGGTTGGTTGAAACCACCAACCAGCCATAATCAACCAATGATTAACCACTATTAACCATTATGGAATAATCATCCCAACTGGTTGGTGGTTTGGAACATGAATTTTATTTTCCATAATAAAAAACGATAATCCTTCCCATTGACGAAGTCCATCATTTTTCAAGATGGTTTTTGAACCATCAACCAGGATGTTAGACATGGGATGATCAATGGGGATATTTCACCAGCGATATCGCAGATGATGCTGATTGATGGTGATTTCACACTGTTTGATGTCAAGGGTTACGATCATTTCATTGATGATTGTACAGGTAATCATCGCAGATGATACCCTCCGTTAATTTGTTACATAGCTATTGAAAATGGCCCATTTATAAATTTATAGATGGTTTACCTGTTAAAGATGGTGATTGTTCATGGCAAACTGTTAGTCATAACCAGATGGTAGTTGTTTCATAACTATGGAAAGATCCACCATTTTCAATAGGTAAATCCACAATTTCTATGGCCATTTTCAATAGCTATTTTGACAAAACCAGAGGGTATTGCATTGATATCTCGTTGATACAATTCCCATTCATATTACATCAACATAGTCATAACCAGATGATTTCCCAAATATCAATCCCAGTGATATCCCAAAATATCAATAACCCTCTGGTAAACATACAAAAAACTATGGAAAATCACCATTTTCAATAGTCATAACCAGATGACAGGCTTAATAGTTATAGTGGATTTACCTACTGAAAATTACCATTTATTATAACATTGATACAATTCCCATAGCCAGATGATAGTTGTATGCTATATATGGTAACATGGATCCCATCAATATACCCCCTTTATGTTAGCATATACACCCTTTATGTTTCAATAGCTATTTTTGACATAACCAGATGATAGGCTTCATAATATTTACCAGATGATAAGCTATTGAAAATGGTGGATTTTTCCATAGTTTTTTGTATGTTTACCAGAGGGTACCCAATCATCCTATCTTCATTGCTAGTTAATCTAGTTATATCCCCACCCAGTTACCCATGGAACATCTTAAAATCCCTCAAAAAACCAGATGACAGGCTTAATAGTTATAGTGGATTTACCTACTGAAAATTACCATTTATTATAACATTGATACAATTCCCATAACCAGATGATAGTTGTTTGATCGTTTCAATGTGTTTTTTTCATCTTTCGATCGACAGGTTTCGATCCCCTAAGGACTTGGTCAACGCCTTTCAGCACCGCGCTGGCGCGGTCAACGCCCCACACGCCGGGCACGCGCCTGCCCCGTGTGCTGCACAGGCGCGGGGCCGTGGAAGTCTAATGGGATTTTCAATGGAAAAAATGGGTGAAAGTTGGTGGGTACCCTCTGGTAAACATACAAAAAACGAACTGGAAAGATCCACCATTTTTCATGGGTAAATCAACTATTTCTATGGGTCATTTTCAATAGCTATGTTAGTTTACCAGAGGGTAACTATTCCAAAGGTGATCCGAACTTCTTAAGGTTGACATGTTGTAATTTACCCAGATGTACTGGATTTCAATGGGACGATATTTTTCTTGATATGATTCAATCATATTCAATAGCTATAGTTGGTGCTTTGAAAATTGTTTCAACCATTTTTTTTTCATATCTTGAAATGGGATGATCAGAATTGATGGGATGTTTGAGGTTGAAACCACCATGGCCGCCATGCCATCACCCAGGAAATGGTGATGCTACTTGGGATGATTTTTATGAGCTCATGAATTTTTATTATCCATGCTATCCTACTTACAACTGGCTACGGCAACTAGTGACCTAGTGGGTGGTTTGGAAGATGAATGGATCATTTTTCCAGAAACAGTTGGGAATGGAAGTCATCATCCCAACTGACGAACTCACCAACCATCATTTTTCAGAGGGGTAGGTATACCACCAACCAGTATTATTATTAACCAATGATTAACCATCATTAACCACTATTAACCACCATTTTCCTATGGTTTTCCCATGGTTTTCGATGATCCTGCTGGGTGGGGTGGCCATAAAAAACCAAAGATATCGCGGTGAAGCGGGCAATTTGGCACGTCGGGTTGGGCACACAATGGATCCTGGAAGATCTGGAATGCGAACAATGTGACTATGGACCAATACCTATAGATACAATTTGTTAGGGGATTAACATTCATTAACCAGCAATTTTGATGTTCACCAGGCGTACAGGGTTTTGACCCATCCCCATGTGTGTTCCGTTGACGTTCGGAAGAATTCGGAAGTTCCTCTGTGCAGTTTTGGGGATCACTGGATCACCAAGAAAAATCAGCTGCTGAGCGCCAGCGAAGAACTGGGGAAACATGCTGGTTTGAATAGCCTCCAAACAAAAATAAAAATCCAAAAATTCTATGAACAAATCATCAAACATCCACCATGTCTAGATCTTTTCCCAGGCAAAAACGGTCGATTTCCAGGTGTTTTTTGGGGAGAAACAAATCCAGACCGCCACTGAAAACTCGCGATTTTTTTTCTCCTGACTCTTCGGAACGTCGGGGTTTGAAATCATTGCTGGATGGGTTGCTGGATGGGTTGGGGTTGGGAATCAACCATTAACCATAGATTAACCATAGATTAGTAACTATTAACCATATTTATATATATCCCATGACGGATCCATTCACGGTGCTGCTATATATGGTAATTAACATGGATCCCATCAACAATTTTACCCCCCAGTCATGTTAGCATTAATATACAAGCGCACCATGGATCCGTCATGGGTAGTGATGATTTATGGATTTATGATTTGCGACAATTTCCGCTGCGTAATTTTCGCACCAGGAAGATGATGATGAGTCTCATTCAAGTGATGATTAGTGTTGTTTGAAAAAAGTCCTAATCTTGTTGGCATTACTATCATTATCATGATGATGATGATGAACCATAGATTAACCATAGATTAATGTATTGGCTAGTATAACCCACAAGCATCAACTACCAGGGATTGGATCTCGCAGCCACTGCTGTACCGTACCTAACATGACACGTTCGTGTGTTTCATCCACCACGAAGCCCGGGGAACAAAAATCGGTCATGATCTGAGATTGACGGACTTTGAGCAATGACCACGGGGTTATACTACCTGATTTATTGGGGAATATGATTCATTCATATTTTAAACTGGTTGGTGGTTTGTTTTTTTTATTTTTCCATTCAGTTGGGAATGTCATCATCCCAACTGACTACAGTAATATTTTTCAGAGGGGTTGGTTGAAACCACCAACCAGTAAATCTCGGAATTCCTATGAATCAACCAGTTTCAGAGGGGATGACACAACTGGGATTTTGAGCACTGATCAATCTGATCAAAATCTGGTTCATTTCTGAATCAAATTCTGGTTTTCCTATGTCATATGCGAACCATGGTGCTGGTATATGAATCCCTACAAAACTGCCCTTGTCCAAAATCACCCAGTTTTGTAGGTAAATATATGTAAATATACCAGCACCATGGTTCGCATATGGCTATGTCATCCTGTTGATGTTTTATGACTTTTGGACCTGTGTTCCATAGATCAATCAAGGGCCTCCACGTCAGCATAGCACGTGACACGACCAGGCGCCGGCGGCAGCGGAATCTGGGAATCCCTTCGACATGTTTTAGCGACGCGGCTCACCTTGCAGCAAGAAGATCTACGGTTCTGTGGACATACCAACTGGTAAATTCAATGGAAATTCCAGGATCCTAAAATGGAGGTACTGTACCATATAAGACCATATTTTGTGGGTATATTCCCTTACATAGGCCTTATATAGGCCTTATATATGTTAGGACATAGCAACTGGTAAATGGGTGGTATGGCCGTATGGACATATGATTTATGGGGATATAAATGGATATTTCATATGTATATTATGGGGATATTGATATTTCATATGTTTTAAGTAGTCTCTGGTTTTCATAGCCTCTGGCAACGTTGTAAAACGTAGCCATGGAAAATGAATGAACATGGCCAAAAAAATCCATGTATTTCAATGATAATACCTGTTCTTTCAATGGTGATTTTCCATCGAAAACTCTTAAATTACCAAGAGGGTAGTCCAACAGAAAAAGGTACCACTCCTGACCAAACAAATGCTAGATTTAACCTTCAAACATGGGTTCTGACAACTAAACATGGTAATCTATTGTAATGGGTGTTTCCTTAAAACATGTGGGAACTCCGATGTTGCTTCCATTTGCTTCTTAGAATGGTGCAAGAGTGGGATTAATATTATTAGCAACTAAATAATAAGCTATTATCCAGCATCATTAACTATCCCTATTTCCTACAATGTGGGGCCCCCCAGTTACAAGTTGGTTTATAACCCCCATTAACTATAGTTATAAGTACCATAAACCATAGACTTCTTGGAGTTATTGGCACCAACTTAGCTATCGAACGGGGGCCCCACATTGTATGATTGCACATTGGATACCCAGAAAACATGGAATAGTTCGATTGGTAAACCATCAACGTTGCCTGGCAAAGCGATTGTCACTAGCACCCATTCCCAAAAGCCACGATCGCAAGCGAGCCAAGCGAGCGCCGATCCATGCGCCGATCCATGCGCCGGTGGTCACAGCGAGTGCAGCCGAATGCCCATGGTATGGGAGTCTGTTTGTTTTTGTTTATCACTTGCTTATGAAAAATCAGAATTCTTCGGGTATCCTGAATTTTGGACCAATCTGTCAATGTGTTTCACTTAGAAATAGTACACATGATTTGAATGAACACCCTGCAAAATGAATCTACAAAAAAATCTACTTAGATAGGATTAGCTAACTGCTTTACAACTGGGTTAACAGTTAACAGTTATAAACCATCATAATCCATCATATCCATCCATTAGACTCCAGTAGTACTCACTAGTTAACTAACAAACCAACTTCCCCATCAAAAAGTCAGAAAGTTCCACTGCAACTCGCTGATCATTGGTGAGTGATTCGGAACGACGTCGCGAAGAGGATGATTACTCTGTGTGAATTGGCAGGTGGATGAAGTGGATGGGATAAAATCACGTCATTATCCCCATGATTGACGTTATAATGTTATGTTATGATGGATAATATTAACATGGGGTTATATATTAATCCTTTATGAACCATCCGAATATGGGTAAAACAATGCCATGACTTTACCACCCATGACTGGGAATGGGAAGTTTATACCACCTATAAAAATGGTGATGACTGGGGGATGGTTTATGGCATTGTGTTACCCACATTACTCTAATATTGATCAAGCCTACAAAAGAAGAACAGATAGAACAGGTATGTTTTTAGCTATTTTAGTAGGAGGTTACTTTTCTTTTCTATCATTTTTGGGATGTCCATCATGTTTTTGCTACAAATGGGGATATATCATGATATATCTACGAACCAGCTGCTAACAAAAAGACATGCAAGGTGTACAAGATTGGCCATGGGATACCACCAATTAGATAGTATTCACACCAAAACATGGGAACTGCAGTTTGACGTCGCAACTTAAACTGAAAAACAGCCGGCGTGTTTCCCAAGCCGCGCGGCGCAACAAAAACAGCCAGCTGACTTCGGCAGAGACAAACACAGTTCCGTTGACCGATCGGTGCCAGAGGTGATCCAAGCGGGTAACACCTTGATGTTTTCCTTAGGTAGATTCCGAAAGAAAATGATCTTTCGGTGATCACACAGACTCATGAAAAACTCATTTTTTTTTCCCGCTTGGAAAATGATGTTTTCCAGGTACAAATAATATGGGTATAACATCTACTAGAGGAGTTTACAAAAAAATCTGGGTATAACTATGGTGAGTTGACCTTCATGTTGGGACGGGTGCCCGTGGCCTAACTTTTCTTGGCGTGTTTGTCTAGGAGTTTTGTGGTTGGCAATGTCTGAAAATGTGTCTGAAAACAAGAGAGTTGGCTAGCTGGAAAATGGTTGGATTTCTATGGATGGGAAAACCATCCGTTTCCATCCCAGAAACACATGAACCATTGAAATTGAGGATTTCCCAGCCATTGTGATTTGCCATAGTCATGTTTGATCCAATGTAAAAAAAATAGCGCATGGCCCGGATGTTTTTTTCGCTGTGAAGCAATCCTGCGAGGAAGTTCCATCCAGGTACCCGAAATGGTAAACTATACCAAAAACTATGGAAAGATCCACCATTTTCAATAGGTAAATCCACTATTTCATGGGAAAACTATGGAAAGATCCAGCATTTGTAGCTGGGAAAACTCACAAAACGACTGGATGGCCATGGATTCCAGTTCGCAGTTGACATAACCAGGTTTTTTGTACTGGGAAAACATTCCAGAAATGTGAAGCACTGCTGGTTGGTGCTGACTGGAACATGAATGGATTATGACTTTCCATATTATATATATATATATTGGGAATGTCATCATCACTAACCACTATTAACCACTATTAATCACTATTCACCGTTATTAACCATCAACCAGGGGTAGGTATACCACCAACCAGACTTTGTTTCTGAACTTCTGAAGCCACGCAATTCCGGTTGCCGATCTCTTGCTCGAGCCTAGAGGCCCCATATGAATATCATCTTGCGGGCAGTAGCGAGTGATCCTTGGAACGAAACAAGACTTATTTGGAGATACACAGTTGTCATTCATCCATATGTATGATTATGTATGATCCTATTCATCTAGATTTCTGATCATAGATGATTACGATGAAATTTGATTTATTATTTGTATTTATCCATCATCCTTTCATCATCTTCCTTTCATCATCATCCTTTCATCATCATCTGTAAACACATCATCTATGATCATCTATGCAGTTTTAGCCTCAACACCATCCATGAAAAGCGGCTTGGCTTAACGAAGTTTCGCCATGAAGCCCCTGAACTCATCCATTTTAGAAACTTCCCCAACTTGAACGGCTGAACTACTGAGATTTCACAACAAAATTCACAGCATACCCTCTGGTACACATACAAAAAACCATGGAAAGATCAACCATTTTGTAGCTGGGAAAACTCACTATTTCTATGGCCATGTTCAACTGTATTAATGATGTATACTTAAACGGCTTAAAGAATGAAACTGTTCTTTTTCAACATATCCAAGTGGCACCCAAATTTTTACTTCGCAGTTCGCCATGGCTACAGAGGAAGCCAAGGAGTTGTCACTCGGATGGTTTTACCGAGTTGAACCGTCAGGTTTCTGAGATTTTTCACGTGATTTTTCTGTGGCTTTAAGGCATCAGAAATGGTGGTTTTAATCAAGAACTGTGGGGGATTGACATCAGAACTCATGGCTGGTTGGTGCTGACTGGAACATGAATGAATTATGACGTTCCATATATATATATATGGGAATGTCATCATCCCAACTGACGAACTCATATTTTTCAGAGGGGTAGGTATACCACCAACCAGGTAAATATTTGGGGAACATAACATTTGGTGATTTTGGTGGTTTTGATGGGGATAGAATCACCTAAAGAACCAGCTGAATTCTTATTTCTTCAGGGTATCTGAGACTCCCCATGGCATTACACACCACCGGAGGGGTCCAGCTAGTGGGTCCCTCACTATCTGCTGGTGATTTTCTCATCAAACTTCTAGCTGGAAAAGTGCAGAGGCAGACCATGTCTGGTTGGTGTCTGGTTATGTTATATAATATCTATATATGTATGGGTTTCTATATGGGGTAGGTCAACCACCAACCAGATAATAATTGGGACAATGATGACTGGTTGGTGGTTTGGAACATTTGGATTATTTTTCCATAATATATTGGATGTCATCCTTCCCATGGACTTTCATATTTTTCAAGATTGTTTTTTTTTACCACCAACCAGATGTTGAAGATGGCTAACTTTCAGTTCCGGGTCAACCTTGGATTGGTTCTTTGAGACTTGAGTTGTTTTGCTTTCAGAATCAGGGTAATTCATATACCCTCTGGTTATGTCAAAATAACTATTGAACATGGCCCAGTCGAAATAGTGGATTTATCCATTAAAAATGGTGGATCTTTCCATCGTTTTTTGTTAGTTTACCAGAGGGTTTTTGGTAATAGCAATTTTGTTATGAGTCCATTGAGTTTCTAATACTCATAGCCTGATACATAGCCTGATATGTGGTAATATTCAATTGTTTGCTATATTTGGCTGGTTGGTGGTTTGGAACATGTTGGATTTTTCTTATATATTGGGAATGGAAAATCATCCCAGCTGACTTTCACTCCATCATTTTTCAGAGGGGTTGGTTGAAACCACCAACCAGTTGGTAATATATGCTTTCCATAGATCTAAATAGACATTTTTGGAAGGGTATGGAAGATTGACCAGGTTCGGATATTGCTTTTGGATAAAAGTCCAACCAGGTCCAACTTGATACCAACCAGGTCCAAACAAAGACGGAACCATGTCCATTCGACCGCTGGCAAGCAGGGAGAAGAACAACATGGCCATTTGGGTTCGAAGATCATCGAAATAAATGAGGAAACAAGCTGGAATCAAGAGTTCAAAGAGCTTAACTCCAGATTCTAGCCATTCTCGCATCCATGCCTCTACCAGGTTTTAGGGGGCTTAAATCTGGAGTTAACCTCCATTCATGTCCGTACAGTGTGCTTCAGGCTTGCATCTGGATTTTGTCTTTTTCCATTGATGCGTCTCTTTCTGATTGTCTCTAATCCAGATTTGATCTTCATTTGCTCAAGTGCACTAGGGCAAGCTT